CAAAGTTTCTATGAGGTTCGATATTTTATTAGTTGATTTTTTTTAATTTTGAGAGAATTGAGTTATAGATTCTGTGTTATTACTTTGTTTTTAAACAGTACTGCTAACAATGGACTTGGACATCTTTTTACAGTACATCCCAAATGGCAGACTTTGCAGTCTGGGAAAACCTGAGCTGCTTCTAAGATTTTTGTGTTGCCTGATGGTGTTTTACGTAGTCAGCTTAGTATGGGGTGGTTAGTTGKTTTTGCCAAATAATGATTAACTGTGACCACAGTTCTACCCTGTTGTTTGGTTTTTGGGGGGTTTCATGCCATGATTTCTACCTTAACAAAATACCTCAGATAAAATTTAATTAGTTAAGGGAAAACTGTTCTTAAGGTTCATGCAAATGTTATAGTTAAGGCGTGTTTTAAGATTTTTTTTTTTATTATTATTTGTGCTATTTTAATGAGGGATAAAAAAAGCTGCATCTAGAGGAAATAAAAGTAGTTGCAGAGGGAGGACTGAAATAGCACTAGCCTATTGAAAATGAATCCTGTTCCTTGCTCTGGCCTAAATTTCAGCTTTGAGCAGTGTTTTCAGAGGGTTGGTTCTTCCCTAACACAYGCTCCAAACAAAGCAAAATATTGAGAAATCTGAGGTCCGTTCAAATGCAAACTTAGCAGCTTTTATCCGTAGTATTATTCTTACTGTGGGAGATGGAAGTGATAAAGGAGGCAGACGGAGCGGAGATCTGGAACTGTGGGTTTCCCTGTTCCGTTCCGCAGCTCGGCTGGTGCCGGCGCGGTGCTGCTGTGCTGTGCGCTGCGTGCGGGGGCTTCCAGGAAAACAGGACGTCCTGTTGTCCCTCTCTTGGGAATGGGCAGATTCCCATTGCACACGTGGGGAGTGTCTGCATGGCACTGGCGGCTCCGGGTGATCGGAACAAGACAGATAAAGAACCAGCAGCTTCGTCCAGCCTAACCCGCAGTGCTCTGCACAGACCTGGCGGCGAGGTTGGGGCAGTGCCCGTTCCGTAGTCGGAGCTGTTGATCTYCTCGGGATGACACATCTAGGAGAGCTGCAGACTAGCAGGGTTGCACACTCCTTACGGCAGTGCACTAATGAGGCAGGGGCTCCAGAGCCTTGCAGGACGTTGGGTCTCTTCTCCTTGGCTGGAAGGGGAATCGGGGGCTTCTTACGCCCTAGATTTGGGGGGCACGAGAAGGGCTAGACGGGTATCCCTGGCACCCAAGCCTTGTGCTGGGCCTCTGCCCGTGGGAGAGATGTTTGTGCAGTGAATGTTGATGGCAGCTGGTCTAGGTAAATGCCTTTATTCTTTGGAGGATGTGCAGCTCTCAAAGCAAAAATGTGTTGAAAAGAAGATATTTATCTCAACACTTAGGTTAGAGGCAGTGAGTCATTAAAGAGAGAGGTGGGTGAGGAGTAAAAACAAAAATAGGGGAAGTGCAAGAATGACATTGGACCAGGGAAAAATCAGGTAAGAAAGACATGAAGCAGTATCCTTGAAAATAAATCATAATGGACATAGGGCTCCAAGTTAAGAATAAGCAGAATGTGTTCATTGTCAAACAAGAATTATTTGTTGGGAAATATCAGTAGTAGCTTTTTTAATAAGGATAGTTACACCTTTTCCCCAAGGGGACAAAAAAGTGGACAGCCTGCCCACAGATACTATGGAGCAGCTGCTTTGGGAATTTCTTCTGTGGTTGTGGCAGGGATAAAATTCTCATCTGCTTCACAGAAAAGGATCACAGTTCATTCCTGTTGCTGTGGTAGGACAGAAGGCAAGAAGGTGATAACTTTAATGTCTTCATGTCTTGCATATAGTTGCAAAGATCCAGGGTCACACATATAATAGGGTAAATGCAACTGATAGATTTTGCTTTGTAACCTTGAAGCAGGTAAATAACATGTACAGAAATGTGGGACGTCTTTGACATTGGCTCCCATCTAAAGTCATTTGGATATTGGTGTGATGTAAAGTGGAGATATTTTACGTCCTCAGCAAGAAAATGGTAGTTTATGATTAAAACATTGGGTTGTGGTTGATACGTCATCAATCTGATACAGGCACTAAAAACCTGGAAAATGTCTTCAGCCTCTAATTCAAATTTCCCTTGTCTCTTTCCTCCAGTTTTGTCTTCAGCAACACCATAAGAAGTTTATTCCTCGCACTTTATAGCAGCTCTTCACCTACTTGAGTGCTTCCCACTAACCTTTTCCTCTCCAGACTAAACAAATGCAATTCTAGTAGTCCTTCATTTGGGTTGGTTATTTTTTCCCCTAGGTTCCTGATTATATTTGCTGTTCTCCATTAATCCCCCTCCCGGCATCCCGCGCTCTTCTCCACAGGCTCCCCGCGGTGGCACAGAGACCTTCGGCTGTGCCCGTCCCAGCGCGGCCCTCAGTGGGGAGACTTTAACCTGCACTTGTGCTCCCGGCAGGATCACCTTAGGAAAAGCCCAGGTGGCTGTTTCACTCGCTCCTTCTGTGGGGATAATCACGTCGGGGTCAAGGTGATGGCAGCGAGAGACAGCGGGGATGAGGGGAGCCCCAGGCTCTGGCCCTGAACCCCCGTCCAAAGCTGCAGCTCGGGGGCAGCTGCGGCCGTGGGTCTTTTCTAGGTGAATTGAGGGGTTCTTTATGATTTTTAGAAGAGATAGGAACACAATTCAGTGTTCAGGCTCATTCGCTTTGAAGTCATGTCTCAAGACTAAATGTAAGTGTTTTTACTATTGTTTAATTTTAGAACAAATGAATCACTTCAAGCCAAGCCAAAAAAAAAAATTGCACAATGAAGGCCAATTCTGTGTACCTGCTGGGGTGGAGTGGGGAAGGCAATTGACTTTTTTTTTTTATTATTTTTTTATTTTTTTTATTTTGACCTCCTGACCACAGGTCAAATATTGGACACACTGTCTTCTCCGTTCCCTCACATCCTTCCCTGGCACAATTACTGTTTCATTGTCTCTGTGCCTTCCTGCCCTTCTGCTCTTATCTTCTTCCTGTCCTGTTATCTTTGTCCCCTTTGTGATGTCTTCTCTCTCTTCTGTGCCGTTTTAGACATGTTTTTCTTTTTTTGGATCTCCTAACCGGTAACACCACCTCTGCCATCCGTAATTCAGTTCTCTGTAATGTCTTACTGGCCACAAGGACTCTGTATCACGGGCACATACACTCGTTTGGCTGCAGTTATTGCTGGGGAGAGGCTTGTGCCAAATAGGTTTGGGCTGCCCCCGCAGCAGGGTGCACCAGGACTCTCATATCAAAGGAATCCCTGTCTGTGAATTCCCCCCAAACTGCAGTTGTATCTTAACTCAGTTGCCCTTCATGTGAGGTTGCAGCCAACCTGACATGATCTGAAAAATAAATCTTTGTCTGTGCCACTCCCTGGCCGGCTGACAAAGGACCATTTCCCAATCATTTTTAATCTTGTGCTTTTATCCTCATAGGATYCTCCTTAGTCACAACTTAACTTCACAAATAAGAACATAATAAACCATCCAATTCCACCCCAAATCCTGGCTAGTTGCAAGCATGTTTTCATGAGGCTTTCAAATTGTTTTCAAAATATACTTAGTTTTCCATCCTTTCCTAAATATGCAATCCATTCATTCATAAAACTACTTTTTTTTTTTTTTTCTATTCTGTAAACCCAGTTTTTCCTGATTTCTCTAGATAGAAACCCCAGACTGTGATTCATGAAACAGCACAGCAAAATGCAGCTGCCTCTGAGGGGAAGTCATGGAGTTAGCTGTGTATGGCCCTAATGCTATTAACGTTGACAGAATGACCCAATCATATTTGTGACTTGAATTTTCTTTTTTTTTTTTCTTCCAATTTTTGAAGAAGTCTTGCTCCATCGTCATGGTTATTAAATGCAGCGTGTCTTTAAAAGATGAATACTCTAAAAAATGCAATGGGCTTTTCGCAAAGTCGCACCGAGTTAGGGAATGAGTTGCTTGGCCAGAYGGTGTGTTTAGCTGGTGTTACAGACATGGAAGTCGCTGGGAAATGTTATCAGAAACCATGTGAACAGTAGGCACTGTTGAACACACGTTCTGTTTCAGTGCTGTGGCCTCGTGGCGTGAGGAGTTAGAGGAGCTTTGTCACTAGCTCTCAATAAAAGAGGCAGAAGACTCTTCCTGTTTGGGAAAACTCTTGACAAATGCTACAAACCTGTGAGTGCTGTGGGATTCATCTGTGCTGTTCTGCTCTTCCATTCAGGAGCAGAGCTGATCTCTCCCTGCCCAAATGCCTTAGAACAGGGTGTGAGAGTTGGTTCAGACTTCACGCGAATTTCATCCCCTTCATCAGCCTCTAGTACTAACGGGAGAAAAAAGGACACCCCAGAAATGAGGCTGAAAATAAGATCTTCTTCTTTGGAATCTAAACTCTAGTTGGACCTCGCTTTTAGAAATGTTCTGCAGAGCCAGGAGATGGCTATTGTTTTATTAGATAAAGCACACAGCTAGGAGACATTGATGTATATATATATATATATATTGCTTTTTAAAATATATATAAAATTGAAGGGTTTTTTTTTTAACCAACTAACTTGGTCTAGGATTTTTAAAACTTCCATCATTTATTGCAGTAAAATCCCAACAGCTGGAGCACTGCCTCTAGGGCAATGTGGAATGCCCATGGTTAGTCAACTTGATGCTTCCTTGCCCATGTGTTGTGAATTTTCCTCTCTCTCTATATATAGGGATAAAGGGGAGGCTGAAAGCATCTCATGTCAGAAACCAACCACCAGTGCTAGAGGTGAAGCTGTGAAAGATGCTCCCATTCTGGAGCAGCAGGGCCATAGCTAACACATTTAGGATACAACTTGAAAAAGTTGCTAGCAGAGTTGCATGACTTTATTGCTTGTGGACTTGTTTTTCTGGGAAAATCCTTGCTACTCTCTGCCTTATATGCCTGCTTTATCCATCCCATAGTACTCAATAGACAGCCAGAGTAATGTATTTTTTTTTCTATGTTTGTTTCAGAAACTCAGACCTCAAACAGTACCACTAAGGCACCCTCTACCACGTTAACAATGCCACAAGGTAAGAGCTCCAGTTCTCTGTTGTGTGAGAGAAAGGAGGTGCGTTGCTTCATCGGAGGTGATTGTAGCACCTGCTGTGTCTCTGCCTCGCCTTCCCCTATAAGGCTGTTGAGAAGAATAAAAGGTTTAGATTTCCTAGTATGGAAAGTTTTAATTGGTGCAGCTCGGGGGCTTGTTGGTTTGTTTGTTTTCTCCCAGATAAAACAAGGCCTAAGTTCTGCCTATTTATAGGCTCTCATGGAGTGGTTGAAGTGTGATCAGGTGTTAGCAGACTTAGCTGGGRGCCACAGTTCAAGGCTTCATAATTCAGATGGAATGGTAGTTCAGATTGAGAACCTGGGAAATGGCACCAGCCAGGCAGAGAGCAGCACAAAGTGTCTTGATAGGGTGGAAGAGGATCTGGACTTAAGGAATAAAGAGTTACATAATGTTTGTCATTGCTGGGTCTCAGTTAATATAATAGTATGCACGTACATAAAGATGGCACTAATACTATGAAGAATTATCAGAGAAACTCTCTGGTTCAGATGGTAAAAATCTGAAACTCTATCTAATGTTGACTGCTTTTCATATGTGTGAGCTACTTACCAATTCCTTTATTATTTCGAACGCTGAAGATACTGTTACATGTTAAAAATGAGGCATGTGACACAGGAAATTTGGAAATAGGACTGCATTTTGTGGTAATCAAAGGTACCAGTGAATCTGTTGCAGAGCTAAGAGTGCTGGGGTTCCAGTGGTGCGTACAGCTGAAGTGCTGGGAATGGAGGGGAATAAGATGGAATCAGTTGAATTCAGTGTATGCTGTGGTTCCTATAGCTCAAAAATTATTCCTTTTCAAATTATATTGCTGTTCTTTTATGCTTAAAAAAAAACCAGATTTTGAGCATCTAATAAAACTCCAACACAGCACAGTGAGTGAACTCTTCAGAAGTTTGGCTCAAATTCGCCTCATAGACTTTTGTCCCATTAAAAAAAAGCATTACTGCTGCTTATGCCTGCAAGAAAGATCTCAGCGGTAATCTGTGAAAATGAAACATCTCGTGAGGGTGGAGATAACTCTCAGGAAGCTCCAGGCCATTCTTTTAGGCATTGCTGTTCTAGGGGAACAGCCAAGAAGCTGACAATTGAGGAAGAGAGTATGATCAAGTACGTTTTAAAAGTTCTGGTGCAAAAACTACATTTAAATTACTAGAGTCATATAAGGAAAAGAACTTTTCCCATCTATGAAAGGGCAGCATGACATATGTTGGGGTTGTGATGGGGTTTGAAATGCATCTCTGTAAGTTGCTCTAGTGTTTTCTATTTATATTAGATTACAGAACAGAAAGCTGGGCTGTTAAAACAGTTTTAAAGCCTGTTTCCATCCTGGCCACCTGGGCAGCAGGTTGGCTTGGTGGAGCCAAGCCCCTTCCCCTAGGAGAGCCAGCACAGGCCTCTTCCCAATGGCCTGGCTCAGGCCTGGCCTGGCCTGAGCTCACTGCTCATACTCAGTGAGCAACCTGCCGCTTGTTTACAGGGTAAATCCTCTCTATGATACAGACCATATGTACTTCGCATCCTCTTAAAGAATATATAGTTAAGAAAACACTTTTAAGGGGCAGAGTATAAAGAGACATTACCTTTTTTATTTGAGCATGACAAAATAATCAATAAACATATGCATGTCCTTCTAGCAGCAGCAAAAGCTGCAAACACATCCACCTCACCAGCGCCGACACCAAAATCACCCGTACCAGTAACAGCTTCAAGGGAAGCCAGAAGTGAATCCCCAACAAGCAGTAAGTGAACGTTTACTTGCATGGGTTGTTGATCCGTTTCTGGAGAACCRTGTGGGGGGAAAGAGAGAAAAGAAAGGATTAGAGGCTGATCAGAAGTTTAAGAAGCAGTGCCTCTTGACCTGCAAGTTTGTTTTACAGATAGCGAACTCCACAGTGAAAGCTTTTGGGTATACACAGCGGCTTCCTTCTGTCTCATTCAAGACAGCCACAGAGCAAAGTCTTACGACTGCATCACTGTAGGCTTTTCTTCAGTAGAATGACCCGTCCATTGTATGTGAGAGTGGTTTCTCTGCAGTGAAAGGAGCCTTTTTCATTTTGTTCTTCACTTTCTTCAGATAGTTATTCTTAAGTTATTCTTCAAATAACTTAAGATTAGATAGTAAGCAAGTCCGTGGTTATTTTACCCATATATATATATGTATGCAAAAATTGACCAAAAAATTTAATATCTTTGCATTTTTAGACTTAACTCTTTCTTCCGTTGCACCAAACACACAACAAACAAGACAAAAAACAACACAAGCTGCAACAACACAACCGCTACCAGAAACATCCCTGGCAGCAGGAGATAAAAGTAACAGCACAGYGAACAGTAAGTGATCATTTCATTGAACCATTTCTGATTCGTTAGGAGCTGTAACTCTGAAAAACCATGTGAAGCAATAAGAAGAGATAAAAGAGAGTAGTTCTCTTTTCAGATTCAGAGGTTTGAGAAAGAGAGCTCTTCATCCTACAGTATTGCATTCTTTAATGAATCTTGTCTGAGAATCAGACACAATCTTAGGCCTTTAATTTGTAGAGGAGGTGATCTGGAGCCATTGCATAGGATTTGAATCTCCCTATAATTGGAGAGATGAAATAGGAAGCATTTTAGGTCTTCTTTTCTTCTGCTTTTATTTATTTATTTGTTTAATATATTAAGTATTTAATTCAAAGAAAATGATTCTGTATGATCAAACTGGTATCAAAGCAGCCTCCTTTGTTATAGTCCATGCTAGAGTTAATTATGTTCTGTATTATATTGAGTCATAGTACTGAAAGCACAGATGTAGTACTAATTACCCTGCAGCAATTTTAGGAAATACCTTTGTTCTACATGGTTCTTCAGGATATCATGTGTGTTGGTCCAGTGCATCAAAGCAAATTTTATCTTAAATTTATTGCACATCTCTTGGATGTTTACATTAATCCAACCACTTAATGCATTTTCTTTAATTTTCTCTTCCTTGAATCCCATCTCTTTGCTATAATCTATGAGATGTTTGCTTAAGCCTTTTTCTCAACCAGGGCTTTCAAATACTCATTTTTTATTTAATTGACTCAAAAAAAAAAAAAAAAAAAAAAAAAAAAAAAAAAAAAGAGAGAGAGAGAAAATGCCATAGATATTTTACTCAGCAGTCAGTGGTTTACCAACAGTCTCCAAATTGACGTTTAGAGCCTACTTAAATGTGACAAATGAATAGAACTTGGTTTCTCTTCCTTTGGTTCTCCTGTCTGTAAAGTGGGCGCTGCTGGCTGGCTGCCTGCATGCTCACTCTTTCCAAATACCCTTTGGAAACCACCCCTCGCAGACCTGACCCTGTTACGCTGCCTATGGAGCAGCTTCCCTCTCACGCGGCGGTTGCATCTTCTGCTGCTGCAGCTTTCCTGCTGGGACGGCCGTAGGGAACGGTGTGATCACCGCTGCTCACTCTGCTGCATTTTAGCCCGCCTTGTGAGTGCTGCCGTCGTGAATCACGGGATGCAGCTTGGCCCCTGCGCTGCGGGGGAGGTGGCACTGAAGGCCACCAGGATTATAAGTTGGCCCTGGTGCAGGGATAGGGCTGCCGGGAGCATCACAGGGCGAGCACAGTTTCTGGTCCTGCAGGTTTGGCAGAGGTTCCTGACTTGCGGGTGTGAGATGGGCACAGCCACCTGGAGCTAAACCTCAGCGACAAGCAGAGCCCCTGGCCCCGGGCGAGATGCTGACACGGAGCGGCGGGCCTGTCTGTGCCGCTTAGTTCCAGGGGCTGCTTGGAACCAATACCCTGAAAAAAGCCGGGAGYGGGTCACGTTACAAACCTCCGGGAAGCGTGAGAAGGGGTGTTCCTGGGGGTGTGTAGTCCACTAGGAAAACCTGCGCTTGTGAGGAGGTCCTGGCTTTGGCTGCACGTGGCCACAGGTGCAAGCTCTGCTGGCAGGATGGCTCTGGAGGTTAGGTTGTAATCAAAGCCCTTCTTTTCTGTTCCTGTTGTTTTGCTTTCCACCAGCCAGCCTTCAGTCTGTCTCTGGTTGCTTGGGTTGTGACCAACTTTTAAAGCCCTTCATTTATACCAGAAAGTAAAAGCTTTGAATTAAAGTTCAGAAACAGGAGGCTGTGTCTGCACAGCCTACCCCTCTTGAGTAAACAGAGACGTTGAATAAGACCTTGAGAACTGGCCCARGTTGAAAAACTCAGTAGTATTTTCATTCATCTTTAAGAAATACTTGGAAAAACTGTATGTGAAAACAACCTTTAGTGCTTTAAAAGAAAAATGTGGTCTGCCTTGCAAGAAGGTCATGTCTTGGCTTCAGTGTAAAGGAGTGGGACAAGACACAGGGTAGGGGCTCTGCAGATGTAGGACCAGCCCTTGTGGAACGCGGGGCCCAGGGCTGCTATGTGGCTGCCTTGGCTACGGGAATCTCTTGTCACAGGCCAGTTTGGGGATACACGTTGGCACTTGGGGATACATGTGCAGTAGCAGTGCAGGACGGGGAGGAAACTTTCTACGCAAAGACAACATGGACCTGGCAAGACTGCTGCTCTTAAAGGCAGAATAGAAAACATGAAAGCTAGCCCATCTCTCTCTTCTTTTTTGCACTGGCCCTTGACTTCTCCCACCTCTTTCATTTGACTTATGAAAGCGAGGCRGAAATTGGAGGTGCCTTTACTACACCTGATTTTAAATAAAAGTGAGACTTTTCTGTAGKTTTTTTTTTTTTTYCCGAAGGAAGGCCTTCACTTTGGCTGCTTCAATCCTTGCTAAGAGCAGCAGTGAATGATCACATTCACGCAGCTGAGATTTGACAGGACTTCCTGTCTCTGCTACGATTTCTGTGACTGCTGTCACCTTTCATTACAGATTCAGAAAAAGCCCCCAGTGCTCCCTACTCGGTGAAATCATGCAAAGGACTTTTCTTTTCTTTTCTTTTTTTTTTTTATCTTCAGTATTCTTTGCTTCCTCAGGCCAGAAGTGCAGTCTCTCCCTCTTTCTGTTCATGCCCTCCTTTTTGTCTTAGAAATCCATGATTAGATGTATTTATCAACAGAAGAGGTAAAATCCACTAGCTGACATTTATTCACATTTAGAGTGGTGTCACTTGTGCAGTCTAGACCTCAAAGCAAGGATTTTAAATAGTTTCACTCCGCTGAAAGTTGCAACTACGAAAAAAATGCCTACCCTGAGATACTAGGGGTTAACAGAGGGAATATAAACCAAAATGCAGCAAAATATATCCATGGAGATGACAAAAGTATGTGTGGTTTATATGTAGGTTAAGTAGAAAATTGTACTAAGATCAAGTGAGAATGTGGGCTGAATTTCAGCAGATTTTTTTAAAAGTGCAGGGCTTTCAGATCACAAAGAGTAAGGAGAACCTGAGGCTGAGACAGCAGCCTTTGCAGCGCAGCTTCAGGTTCCCCCTTGTTGATTACCCCTTTGACAGACACGTGTTGAGAACAGCACTTAACGCCCTGTTGTTCATACTATGGGAATATCAGTGGGGAGAGCTGCACGAGCACCAGGGAGCAGCCRTCAGCCCCACTGGGACAGCGACGCTGCAGTCCTCGCAGCTCTGCAGTTGTGTTCCTAACGAGCTGCTGACAAGAGGCCCGTTGAAGGATGAGGTGACTGCAGCTGCAGCAGCCACCCCGCACTGTGCGGCTGCATTCCCGCGGATGCTGGCTCCGGCCGGCAGGCAAGGAGCTCGGCTGGCGGAGCGGGAGCGGAGCAGGGCGTGCAGCTCTGCACCGTGGGCTCCGACACAGGCACTACAGGAGAGAGTCACTGCATGGCGAATCCCACTGTGGCCACTGCAGGAAGGGCTCCTGCCATCTCCTGCCTTTGAGATGCAGCTAAGCCTCGCACACATAGGAGTTAGGAGGTGGCAAAACGGCAGGTTTCCAGATGACACCCTGTGCTTTCCCTGCTGTGGCTGCCTGTGGGATACGCTCGCTATGGACACTTCTGCTCCCATAGGAGCACCAAAGCTGTTCTGTCTGCTGGATGCGTTGGAGGAGCTTGTACCAAGTATGAGGCGTAAGGCCTGGAGGTTCCTTAAGTGCCACTTCAAAGCCACAAGTCAGCAGAGAGTTATGTTGCTAGGATTTAATCATTTGTATAGTGGAATTAAGGGAGCCTTCCCTGGGAGGCTGCATTTTTCATCTCAGGAGTAATGAAAACCTGCACAAAGAATTTTGTGCTTCGTGTATCAACTTCACCTCTTTGACATTAGGAATGGAGCCTGATCTACAGTCCACTGAAATAAGTGTAAAAAGCTTCACACCAAGCTGTAGATAAAGATGTAAGCCGTGTATTGGTGCTACCCGTAAGTAGCAGGAGGAATTTSACACAAATTGGATTTAAAAAATTAAATGAAAATGAGATCATGCCTCCCCTCCCCTCCCGATCCCCTGCTGAGGAATATACAGCGTGCAGCACATGTTCCCCGGAACAAGCTGTTCTCACAGCGCCCAAACACAAGGCAGTGCTCGGAGCTGGGCTGCTGCCAGCACGGGGAGAGCGTGTGATGCCCATGGGAAAACAGCTCTCGAGGGGGCTGCAAGAAAACTGACTGCCTCCCTCCTCCTTTCTCCCACACACCTGATTATTTTGTGCAGTTTGCAAGGCGTGTTTGTGTTTGCATGTCTCTGTGCACGAAGGGTTACTGCTAGCCTGGTTTTCTGCATCCTCCCATCACAGGTTTTTACTGACTCCCTCCTGTGAGAAGGAAGCCACAAGAGGGTTTCTCTTACTAATTCTACAATGTGTACATGCTGGGGAGCACCTTTTGTTTATTTATTTTTTAATTGGTTGTAAGGTTAAAATTCAACATGTGAAATTTGAGTCTCAAATAACTGCAGTGAGAACCAAGAGTGAAAAAGGTTGTGCTTAAAGATTCTTTCATTGCTTCCATGATACAAAACCTACAATTGTATCTGACCCGATTGTCTCATTTCCAGCTACATTCCAAGCAAATGAAACACAGTCAACACCAAATGGGACTTTGGGTGCTCCGTCTACTAAGGGACCCTCCTTGCCTCCAACAACTGCTCTGCAGAAAACAACTTTTGCTTCTGAAACTTCAAGTAAGTTCTGTAAACACACACTACTTCCTTATCCAAATGCTTGAAAAGATGCAAATAATCTTGAATTCCTTCGACATTTGCCATGTATTGTCTTGGAATAATGGCCCCTCCTTATTATGTGCAATGTGATGATTAATCTATGCCGTCTAGTCATGCAGTTACAGTTGGTGATGGGGGAACTTCAAAAGTTTCAGTTTGGATACTCAGTGTCATTACAGGAGGATATAAATTAGGGAAGATAATAGAAACCCTTATACATGCTTCGTGTGGTCATTGTTTAACATTCACTGCCAGAGGAGGTCATTGAGATAAATACTGTGGCTRCAAAGTAAGGAGGAAAACAGCTATAATTTTTATAACTGTTAATAAATCTGGAGGGCAAGCTAATGCATATTACCAATTAAGTGACATTGTTCAAAGTACAGTGTGGTCACATGCAAGGTCGAAAAACATCAGTCTTTCTCAACTCCCATCTAACTTTGTTTTTTTGCMGGGTTTGTTTATTCACTAAGCGACTTTGTGGCAGAGGTGGATGTCAGGTCATAAGAGTGATAATTTATTATGCTTCTATCTGACCTAGCTTTGCTCCATTTTGAAGAATAATAAATTACTTAGGTTTTGAGCTCTCTTGAGCTCTCGCTCAGTGCTCTCTCTCARCTAAACCCAATGAGGGCACTGTTTTCGTTTGTGCATCCCAATTATTATCACACAACATCCTTCAAGAGAGATAAGACCCTGTACAACTGTCTAGACTGCTATGTGTGGGAGCTAAGCATGGCAAACAAGAATGAGCCCTCTGTAGTATTTCATCATGGTTAAACAGAGCAGGGCAAGTGCCTGAGTACTGTGATTTTCCAATGGAAGCTGGGAATGGATGTAAAACAGCATAAACTACTTATCATACGCTCAGTACATACTGAAACAGTTGTAAGAGCCCAAAAAGTTGTTTTTATAATTTTAACAAGAATTTTWGGAAAGTTGGGCTTTAATCCAATGCCACTGATGTAGGTATCATTACAATTACTTTAGTAAGTCTGTGCCCCGTAATGAGGATATTCAGGTAACTACAGCTCACAATATATAGTGACGTTTGGTGTCTTCTGGCAGACACACACAGACACGTATGGAAACCTTACCCTTAGTACGCTGCAGTAAGACAATAATTCAAAATATTTTTAATYGAAATTTCTTTCCCTTCATACAGGTAAATTCTCCGGGTTAAAATGAATTTGCAATACATATTTACCTATAGATTACAATCATATACAATTCATGTATATAAAAATATACAATTAYATTTTAGATTTCCTCAGAAATATTTCCTTCCTTCCATGAGTCTGTTTGTGAAAGTCATCATCTTACTCAGCTCACTTTGCTCTAAAAGCAATAAATTTTCATTAGCTCAGGGACTATCCAAGAAGCCRGGACTCTAATTGCCTCTCTGAGAAAGAAAGGGACCATCTATCACAGGCCACTCAGTCCAGGTCCTTGGCATTGCCAGTACTTCGAGTTCCCATAAAACTGCTATTTCCAAATCACTTCCTCGCTCACCAGGACTTGGCATTTATACCTCCCCTGTCTCCTAGCAGAACTAGCTCCAGATTTTTCTCTTTCATCTTAAGTGTGCAAGAAATCCTTTTACTCACCTTGATGAGATAGGTAGCTTATCCCTAATGGGTGCACCTTTAGAGCATCCCTGTTGCCTTTTTCCCCTTTGCAAGTTAGAGATACCTTGGCTCCCTCTAAGCAAGTCTTATCCACTGTGTGCAATTGCTCAGGGCCGGGGGAAGCCACAGACAGCCCCCTAATAACTTGAAAAATATTGCAAATGTGGAGCTAGCTGTTTTGTTTTGCACTGAGGCTAAAAAGAAAGGCTGTGTATCTCACTGAGATCATTTTTTTTTTCCTCTGCAGCTCTGTAAAATTTCATGTTCAGGTGTTTTTCTAGGGACGTGGCTGCCTTTTTGTTCAGCAGAGCAGAGGCTGGGATGCAAAAGGGGCTCATGCTGCAGCCTGCAGGGATTGCAGAGCCTGGAAGCTGCAGGCATSGCTTCTGTGTGGGAGCTCAGGGGAACACAAATTAGTGTCAGATTGGTCCAAAACAGAGCATTTCTGTTTGGTTTGCTCAACCAAAATATTTCAGCTGGCTAACCCCAATCCAAAAGAATATATTTAGTTTCAAGGCCATTTTCCACACACACACAAATGCCATTTTTATGAAAATTTTCTTTCTTGCCGAGGAAAGAGGAAGAAAAGCACATTTTGAGGAGAAATTCCCAGCCAGTCATATCAGGGTGTGGGAGGAGTGCCACATAGAGCTGGAGAGCAACCGGAATGAGTGGGGGAGCTAGCAAAGAACTTGGAGAAATGTCAGAGAACAGAATTGCTCTGTGGAAAACACAGAACCGGCAGCCACCGAGCAGGGGCTGTGCTGTGTCCCCCCGGGCTGCAGCAGGGAATAAGGGCTGCTGCTGAGCGCAGGGCGGCCTGCAGCCAAGCCCTAGACACAAACACTTCCCTGTCTTCAGCTGTGTCTGTCCTGGGTAATAGATCTCCTCTGCCTCCGTTCTCTGCCTCCACAAAGGGAGGCTTGCTAATAYTTAATCTTCTCCTTTTGTTTAATTAATGAAAAAAATGGAGATTTAATAGATCCCTCGGAGTCTAAATGTGTCTGAGAAACAGCAGCTATTTTATCTTTTCGCTCTGTGACTTCAGCAACAACAACAACAAAATCCATAAGGCAGTATTAGAGTAAGTTCGCCCAGCAGGGTGTGAAGATCAAACRATCTATGATAATAAACTGTCAGATGAATCAACCACTGCATCTATTGATATCTTCATTGCACTCCTGAAATTATAAATCCTACTCACTTGATTCACAGGAGGCATCTCCCTAAGAAAAATCCTTATCAGTAAAACAAAGGAGGGTTTGACTCTTTCTCTGCATGAACTATATAGGAACGCTGGATAGTGATAGTAGATGAAAATTGTTCGTCCTAGCTTCAGTGTCCTCAGGAAGCAAGAATCAAAGAGTTTGGGACATGGAAAACATAGCAGAGCTTCAGTTACTGCAGTTACAGATCCACAGCCAGGGTRGGATAAGGAGGGTTTCTTAAGGTTCTTAATTTTGCTTTGATTTATGGTGCGGTATCCCCTCTGAGTAATCAGCCAAATTTATTCATTTGTTTTGCCAGTGAACACAGTTTCTTGTGGCTGTCCTCCAAAAACAGAAGCAGTTTAGGTAGCAGACCACTGAGAATAGAGCGGGGAGAGGTTAGTTACCAGTCTCTTTCTCCATCTGTCAAGCTTCTAACCAGCTCCAAATCGAGTCAGGCAGGTATTTTCAAATCAAGCCACAGTCTTTGCCAATTTTTTATCCTTGTCCTCCTTACTGCACAACAAGGACTCAGCACAGCCAGTGTTGTACGCCTCACTTTTTGTGATGAGTCTGGAAACCTTCCCAGATTATATATACAGAGCATCTGCCCCCCTAACTCCCAGCCCCCAAAGATGTGGTAAGCTCCATACAGRCAGCTAGAACGCTAGTAAATATGTTAGCAGCAAAGTGCTGCCTTTCTTTCTGTCTTTTGCTTTCTGTAGAACAGCAGTGACCCCACCACCAAGAAGGGCACAGGAGGGTTGTTTAGGAAATGCAAACCAAAAGCACCTAGTGACCTGCTCCGATAAGTGCACGTTGTTTACGTGGCAGGGCTGAGCAGTCTCTGGAGCAGAGTGTGAGCTAACAGCCTGCTTGCATGCTCGAGACCGTGGGGGCAGAGAGGGAAGGGCAAAAGGTTGTTCTTTATTACTTATTCTTTCCATTCTCTAACAGAATTCAGAGGAGATACCTTTGGTAAGATGGTTTTTACTTCCATTGTGTATAGCTACATGTGGTTTTTAAGAATAATGAGGGTTGGGAGGTTTTTAAAGCCTCTGAACTAAGGGAAGGGGAGTGCAGTCATGCTGTCATGCTTGCTAGCAGCAATGCACTTTGCCTTCTGGGTTTACAGAAGTGGTGGGAGCCCGGCCAGGATAGCAGCAGGAATTCTGCATGTGCCTGTGGGTACTGGCTCTCCCATGGCCACCTGACATTTCCAAAGATCCTAACATCACTTGCATACAGTTTTGACAAACCCCATGTCTTTGGGCTGAAATTGGAAATCAGCCTCAATCTTGATAGAATTTTTCTATTTGCTTATTTATTCTGATTTCAATCATGTTGGTTCACTTAGTTTGCAATACAGAAATCAAGGGGAAAATGAGTTATTAAATTAGAGTCTTGGGAACTTTCCTTAGCAAAACTTAACTCTCTTCAAACTCGAGAGAAGACGTGAAATTTCTTAGAGAAGTGACCGATTTTTGAGTCTTTTCCCCATCTCTGTGAGTACACATGTGCATGCAGACACGCACATACACAAACACACACAGAGTTTTGCAGTTTGCTTGGACAGCCGTTGCTACATGATCACATTATATTTTTCCATGCAACCCCACACTTACAGGCTGCAGGCAAGACAATATTTAGGTAGCAAACAGTCATTTCGTATTTCAGTGTTTCCTTAGTGCTGGCTATGTATCCTCCTTCCTTCTGTACTGAGTGTTACTCCAAATCTCTTTTGACAAGTAGAGTTATTAAATTCCTAAAGCTCTTCTTTGAATCTTGTCATTAACTTTGCCCAAATATGTTACAAGCATTACCTAATGAATCATCACAAATTTCTCCTGCTTTTTGCAGATGGATTGCTGAGATGATAAAAAGCTTGCATTAAAAATATCCACTGAGTTTTAGGAAATCAGCATGAGATATAGTGTACCCCCAGAGTACTTAGTATTACCAATATTTAGTATGTTCAAGAAGAGCTCTCACTGCAGACTTTTGAGTGCTTTACTTTTCAACGTGAACAGGCTTTTCATGCACACTTCTGATTAAAGTGCAGTGAAAGCTCTGTCACGTGTATCATTGGCAGAAATGGTTATTTAGACCCCGGTGTCTCGAGTCAATCCTGCTTTTAATTGTGCATGGAGAGGAGGAGACACAACGGCAGCCGTTCTTGTTTTCAAAGAGTAGGTTCACATTAGTGGAGTAACGTGTCTAACTCGTGCTACAGCCCGTGTTGCAGGAGCTCTCTTTGTGCAGAGCACCAGCTCACAGTGCTGAGGGTGCAGCAGGGGTGTGGAAGTGAAGGGCCCTTAGGGTCCTGGTGTGATGGGCAGCGGGGGGACCCTGGGCACACCGAGGAGACGCTCAACGCCTGCTCTGGGTTAGGACAGCTCTCACACCAGAGCTCCCGCTGCCTCCCAGCCTGGCAGAGGATGTGGGGCAGATGTGGACATCCTGGGAGCTCTCCCTGTAAGATCAGTTAAGTTACATTCCCCGTAGTCACCTTGGCAGAAGGAAATGGTGAAAAGATGCAGCAATGGGGCTTTTATGGTGCTGTCCAACCTGSAGAAGCAGACCAAACACCCTCGTTTATACCTCAGAGTAACTGCGAGCACATATACTGCCTAAGGGTTGGGTTGTTTTCCTTGGTAGCTTCAGTAGTCTGGTGTGAGAGACCTCAGCAGCCAGGCAGGGAGCCGGTCTCCAGCCTCTGGCAGGAGACGTTCTGTCTCGTACAAACAGATAAACGTTTTGCTGCCCGTTCACACGGGTGAATATTTTCAAAGACAGATGAGTTAGGTGCCCAACTTCCTTCAACTGTGGAGTGATCATGGAAGAGCTTTAATGCAACATAATAAAAAGCACCATGGGAGTGATGGTTGTCTGTGGCTAGCCTCCAAATGTGAAGTATTAACAACCTTCTTAATTTTCAAGCATGCTACAGTCTAGACACCTGAGAGCAGCAGCAGACTAACAAAAGCAGGAGTCAAAATCCTGCATCAAAAATATCTGGAGTGAACGGAGCGTCTGAGAGTGGTAGGCCAGTGAGCATGATGCAGAGAGCAGCGTAAGGTCCGTTCCTTGCTCATTAACAATGCCTCTTAGTCCTGCTGCTCGGCAGTCTGCTAGCCAAGAACATGGAGATAATTAATGAAGACTCATTTTTAAAAGGTTTTGTGACACTCGAAGATGTTCTCAGGCATTTGAGTTTCTTTCATTAAATCACCAATAATATGTGTTGGTTAAATGCCAGCTGTTCACTCCAAAGTACCTATTTGGTTTTGGCAGAAGAAATTTTTTAGGAGGGTATGAATTAATTCAGGATTTTCTTCTCTTGAGTGGAATAGCAATGCAGTGTGGGCTGAACTTTAGATTCTAGTTCCATTTATGAGCGATTTCTGCAGCCTTTGATTTTTTCTGAGCTCAGTAACGGTGTCAGCAGGGCTGCCACAGGCAGCTGCCACTCCAGGACAGGGTTTCTTGTGCAGTTACAGAGTGTGTAGCTAGAGTCTGTCAATTTGCATGATGTTGAAGGCTGTCCTTTCTTTCCCCTCCTATAAGCAAGGGCAGCTAATCTTAATGCAGTTACTAATAGAACTCTTCCTTCTGTTTTCTTGCAGGCCTTCCTGTGAACTCCACAGCAGAACCAACAAGTAAGAGTGACAGAAGGGTTTGATCTTTGCACACTTATTAAAAGGGCTACCTTGAGGTGAGAGGGAGTCAAACTGAGAATAGGAAATGTTGAGGGAAGGAAGAGGCTCCAAGGGAAGAATGGAGTGAAGTGTAATGCTGAGGAGCAGATGAGTGATGCTCAAGTTACAGCAATGAGCAACTTTTCTGCAAACTCTAGYGAATGCCAGGCTGGACCAGCGGATACCAAAAAGAAAACAGGACATGAGCACAGGGGAAAATCAGGCCCARTTGATCACATGATGCAATGGGAAATCCATATAAAAGTGCAGTATTTATCAAGGAGCTTGTTCTTGCTGCTGGCTCTCATTGCTTGTGCTATAGTTGGAACCAGCAGTAAGAGTTGCCCAGAGTAAGGCAGCAGTTTCCTGTGCTAGTGAACAATATTGTGCTATTTCCCTTTCTTTGGGCTTGTCAGGAAGCAGTCTCTTCTGTACTGGTCTCTGCAGTTCCTGCTGCTGCTTCTAACAGTTTGTCCCTCCTGTTACCACGATGAATCTATTACTGTAATTAATTGTTACTCTGATCCCACATCATTCCGTAGCTGGACAATATCTTTCAGACTCTCTGTGGATGCAGAGAATACAGACGGGATAGGCTGACTTGTGAGAGAATGTTAGCTAATAAATTGGATAACTGAATTAAAGTTTTTAATTCCTTAATCCATTTTATTAATGCATTAGTATTTCTGTTATATTTCTCATTGGTGATCTCACATAGTAAAACACTGAYGTGTGAATTTCTGTTTTCTGTATTATTCACAGTTTGGTCATTTGATAGAGAGAACTAGAAAAATGACCTGTGGGTTTGAATCCTCAGGTTTTTCCTGAGAAGATGTTAGACAAATATGGAGGACACACATTCAAGTTTTTTAATATATTTTTTCTGTTGGTATTATAAGTCTTTGCTGTGATAATTGCCTGCTTGCCCTATGTATCCTGTAGTGTATGATGTAAGGTAAGGAATGGAGCAGTAGTATTCCCCTGGGAAATCTGAAGCAATCACATGGAATTATCAATGCATAAGAATTATTTACCTCACCTCCTCCTGGTTCACACGCTCCATCCCTGCATTATCATCTCTCAGCAGATAGGCACCACAGGGGAGGTGACTTCTGCTTTAAAGAAACATAGTGCTTTTCAGAGATAAGGTCTGAGACAATGATTGTGTTCTATCCTACAGCATTAAAAGGTCTCGGCTGAGTCTGTATTGTTCTGGCACCTTACAAACACATAGTAAATGATCACTTATCTCCAAGAGGTTTCACCACCTTAGACCAGACAAGTCCCCAAAAAGGAAGCAAAACAGAGAAGATAAACAGCCTGCCCAACATTCACAGGGCTACACAGCTGCAGGACAAATATTAGAACACAGTTCTCTCAATCCTTACCTTTGCACTGCCAGCCAGTCCGTGTTGCATTCTAAGCAGGATCGTAGGGCTTCTAGTTATCTGAAAAATTCAGTGCACTTGAATATCCAGCACACCTGGGCAAAAACTAGCCCCTGGCTCTGCTCTRCTTTACCACTGTTGCGTTCAGTGATGACATGGGATGATAGTGATGACAAACTGCCCCATGCCAGTGGGGCAGTTTGTTGTGGGAATGGAAAAAGGGGTGAAAAGAGAAGAATGGAGAAAAACAATGTTTGCAACACCCGTGGATACTGGATCTGAGTTGAGAATTAGTGCAACAACAAGCAGAGAGTGTGAGCTTGGCATTGTTTATTGCAATAATTCAATAGACTAGAATTACAAGTGCTGCCCATACAAAGGCTTCCAAAAAAAAAAAAAAAAAAAAAAAAAAAAAAAACTTGTAATTCAGCAGCTTGGAATTAAGTCCTGTCTCTCAAAAGGGCTCTGCACTCTCTGCTACTCTCTTTGTTTAACAAATCTTCTTCCTATTTGAGGGCCATGTTTGGTATTTTTGCTGCTAATAGTGAATTATTTTGGTCTTTCTGTTTTTGGAGACAGGTCTAATTTTCAGTCTCTTGCTTATTTAGTTGTGAGTCAAGAGATCTCTCTAAAGTCAAACAGTATCTTGACCTCTGAAAAATGAGAACGTTCGTAGCTCACGATCTGTAGGGGAGTAAGTAGATGGTCCTCGGGGAGACAGTCCATGTGAAGTGCTCCTTTCTCCTAGGCCACAGTRGAAAGCCTTTCCTATCTGCTTTACCAATCATCATTACGGTATTATTAAGAACACATTTCTTAATGGAGCACACAGTGGCTCCAGATTTGGGAACACAACGATTGTATGGGAAGGATAAGGAAAGAGGGAAAGATAAGCTCTGACTATTATGTACTAACCTGGAGGCAATGTTTCTTTTGCAAATGTAGGTCTCAGCAGTTCTGGAAACAAGCTGCCAGAGGACACCATCCATTATTCTAGTGAGTGTTCCTACTTTATTGTCCATCTCTTGCGTTTTTTTCAGTAGGGCTGTTGGGCTCTAGGTGAGTGATCAGAGCAGCAGAGAAATAAAACTGGCAGCTTTATCTCAGCCTTCACCAGACTGGAGACCCTGTTACAAACCTGTTTTAACTGCATGTTATATATATAGCTCTTCTGAAAGAGAAACAGAGCTTAACAAGTTGACACCACTCTCAATGGAGAACAGCACAATTATTCCTAAGGACTGAGGTCCAAGTGATACCATTGGAAAAAAATCGGAACAGTCATACACAGAATACACAGGAAACAGAAGAAAATATTGTTCCTGTGTTGTTAAGGATATATATTGTTATGGATGTATTGTAATGAATGTATTATACGCATGTATCATTCATATGGTCGGGGAAGATGGAGGCAGAGCTAAGGGGGAGTCTTCTATAAACTGTTGAGGCACTAAGTATTTGGATGGTGCATGTTATTTAACGTACTGATTTAAAAAGTATGCATCTCCAGAGTGAGAGCATTACTGCAGGACTGCTCTCTCAATCTAGAGCACTGGCTTAGCAAATTATTTGTCATCAAGAGCTGCTGAAGATGCCATCCCTAAATASGCTCTGCCTTGCTGCACTGGTCTCTGTTACAGACAAATGTGTGTCTTTCAACACCAATCCCCACCGCCTTTGACAACAGGCCCTGTCSTAGTTAGGAGTTCCTAAGCCCTCGGGGCAGGAAGCAGACGGGCTGCCCTGGGAGCAGGCAGGAGCCGGGAGCGGAGGCTGGAGCTGGAGCTGGCCTGAAGCTCCCGCTGCAGCCCCCGGGCCCGGGCAGAGCTGCCCTCGCCAGGCAGGCTGCAGCCTGCGGAATCTGGGGGGAAAAGCCAAAACCCACGCGTAGATGGAGAGAAGCTGGGCCTGCCCCCAGCAGAGCTTCTCTTCATTACATAGTTCTTTCCTTTTTACTTCTTGGCTGGGAAACACCTGTCAGGAAATGGCAGATGGTGGGAAATAATACAAGGAAAGAAATGTCCTCATTTGAAAAAGAGAGCTTGCGKTTTCTATCCCTGGGTATAAGTGCTGAAGGGAATGTTGCTGAATTATGTAATTTCTTGGTGTCTTTTGGCACTTACAATGTTAAAAGAGAAATAATTACTTTAGTCACTGAATTTCAGATGAGTCTTTCTCATCTGAAAAAATCCCCCCCAAAATCTCCTCCTCCCCCCACCCCTGGAAAAGTCACGTGCACCAAAAATTTGATCCTGAAACACAACTGTTTTGTGAAACCTTTCGGGGCTATTGAGATTGGGGTGATTCATKAATGTTTTCATCGAGATCACAGTGGTCCCACGGGGGGAGATGTTAAAACGTCGCTCTGCTGCAGAAACCTGGGCGCGAGCTGTCTCTGAAGAGCTCTGCCACTGCTGGGAACGCCAGGCTGGGCAGGAATGACTAAGGATGGGGGAAGGAAGGGGCCCAAAGCTTCCCTGCAAAAAAAACTGCAAGCCTGACACGCGGTGGGTGCTCRAGGAATAGCAGGAGCAGCAGGTTACCCGCTCCCGAGAAATCCGGGAGGTTTGGCGAAATTGCCATGGAAGGAGAAGCTGGAGATTCCTCTTGCATTTATGCGTGTGGGCGCCTGTGTAGGGATGAGGTGCAAGCAAGAGGCAGCAGGCAAAATGATGTTCGCCCTCTTTTGCAGGTGTTATCTTGCCAGTTGTGATCACCTTGATAGTAATTACCCTTTCCGTCTTCTCTCTGGTGGCTCTGTACAGAATGTGCCAGAAGAAAACACCAGGTACTTGGCTCTCCATGGGGGGGGGATGAGGAGGATCGCTAAGCTTTTTATTATTGAAAGATCTCTGATTTTTTTGTTGCTGTTTTTGTTTTTTTTTTTTTTAAGATTGCTGTAGCTATAGACGTTGCTATAGAATAAGAATTTAAGATTTTTTCCTGATTTAAAAGTGTTTTGCCTAATGCAGGAAAGTAACACTGCCTTTTTAAAAATGATGTAAAGAACAGAGGGAGTAAAAATGGCTGCATTTGTTGAAGTACACTGCCATACAGCTTTTCTTTTCCCCTTTTGCAGCCACCACGAGGTAACAAACAGCTGTGCTAACACAGTCTACTTAGTAGAAAAYAAAGATGCAAAATAAGTTTGGAGATATTAAGACAATCACCTGTATTCATTTTAGCTCTGCTCTAAATACAGGAAATAGGAAAGTCAATACTTTTTTTTTTTAAGGGATGCTCAATATTTCTATTTGTATATTAATTTCCAGTTACAGTATACACATGGGCATGAAGGCCCTGAGCAAACAACTGTTTTTATAAATAGTCATTTTAACAGATCAGCCAAAGCCAGTACCCGGCTGTCTATGAAATACTTTAAATAATGGAGATACGACTCCATTAAATTCTATTTGCCAAGTACTTTACAGAACTACCAGAGAGGGTCATAGGCAAATGCAATTCTCTCTTATATGGGTATGTATATCTGGATCCAGACTGTGTTTTTTCTYTCCCTGGTCATTGACATTAATTAAGAGATCTGTGTAGAACTTTAGCTGTGAAATCTCTAGGCCTCAGAAATGTAAACTCACAGTGGGGTGCAGAAGCTGTAGGTCCAGGAAAATAATGTCACAACCAATTTAGCAAATGACATGCAAAACCAGAACTAAACAGCAAGAAGATAGTGAGCCCTGCTTAGGAAATTACTGGCTATTCAGAATCAAGAGGTAAAGATTTTGGTTGAAGAAAGTTTCTTTTCCTCTCTCCCCCACATGCAAATGCCAGCACACAGCATACGAATAAGTTCACTTGGAAATTAGAGTAGACATCTGTGGTTCTTGATTTGCCAGCTTTGCTCAGGTCTTTCCTCGGGGTTTGCTTCCTCTGCAGACTGAGAGCCCTATGACTGGTGCAGCAGAATACGAATTAGCTCCATGTCTCTGATGCAACCCCCTAGCCCCGTCCATCTGTCCACACTTGCACATKAGAATAAAATATGTTCAGTATATGATTCATCTAGGGGGAGAAATGTATTTCTTGTTGGCTGGGATGACAGGCTACAACTCAAAAACATTGAGTGTTCAACAGTAATTGGTCAGCAGCAAATTAGCAGGCCCCTTACCACTTAGTCATTGCTCAAGGGCTCCATTCCCAAATTTTGGAGGGCCAGTTCAACAGGGAAACTGGGCACTTAACTGCCAGTTTAAGAACCTAGGTCTAAAACTGAAAGCGCCCTACAGCCACATCTCGGATACCCCTTAGGCATGGACATACACAACCTCTACAGGCTATACTCACGATAAAATTTTCTAAGCATCTCCAGCTTTGATTGAGACAGATTAAGACCCCTAAGTATCCAGCCTGGCAGCTTGTTCCCTTGCTCCTCCTACCCCTTTCTGCTATACATCAGTTATTACATACTCAAAAGCTCTTATATACTCACCTTTAGCTATCTAGCYGTAGCTACCAGGGCACTTCTGAGCTGCAGGAAAACAGGTTCTTCTGGTCTCCTTCCCCTCCCTCCAAAGTCCCTGGACATTTGTTTCTTGGTTTCTTGTCCTTGCATAGGAGTTTACTGACTCCTGGGGATGGAGTTACAGCTCTGAACTGGGCAGGAGAAGCCCAAGCCTTGCAGGGCTCCTCTCTCCCCACGGGGTCTGGAGGAAGGGCTCTGTGGCCAGCACCACTGTGGGTTACAGCAGGGCTGTGCAGCATCTAGCAGCTGGTGCTGCAGGGCCCCAACCACAGCTGACTTGTGCTGTGCACTTTGTCAGGCCGTGTGCTTTTCTCCTGGCTTTCAGAACTATTGGTTTGGACAGTGTCAGTTCACTTACACGGCTGGCGTGGCGATCTGGTGARAAAAGGGACAATTACCATTCCTGCTGGTTGATTGTGTTGAAATATTGAATGCAATACCATGGAATCGCACCAAATCTGCTGCTGCAGACAGCAATAACTATGTCTAAATGTTTTACTTAACTGAGTTCTAGCAGTCAAAATGATATTACCTTTATTTCTTTTTCAGAGAGACAAGAGAATGGAACTGAACAGTAAGTTGAATCCTGTCTTTGTGTTTCTTTAGGATCTATCACAATGCGCTTGTGAATGCAGCAGATTCTGCATGTGTTTTTCTTTGATCTTTCTCTTTGATAAGTGGCTGCTGCCCCTGAAAGAACTGCAGGAGAAAGGGATGTGCTTGCAGTTCTTGTACACCTCTTACACTTGTGTACAGGATAACCAGCAGTCCCGGCATGGGCAGAAACAGGGCTGCCTTGAGCTGTTTTGAAGGGAGTCCTTTGAAACAAATAAATGGTTTATCATAGGGATGTAAGGCCCATTGGCCCAGTCTTTTTTTTTCTTTTCATTTTTCCCCGTCCATTGTTTTTTCTCTTGTCTCAATTTGCATTCCTCTTCTTTTTTTGCAAGCTTTCTCTTTCGGTTTTTTTTTTTTTTTTTTTTTTTTCTCCCCTTGCTCTTTGTTGCCCCATTTTCTGAGCCTGTCCATATGCACAGGCTCAACTAAAATGGTATTAGCATAAGGAGCTTCAAGAGAGTGAAACTGCAGTAAATTCATTAGAAATTCATACTGTGCTTGAGGGCACTGAGTCTGGCTGTGGTGTCTGTGTTGGTATGACCAAAACCAAAATCTGAGCTGCTGACCAGATCCCCCTGCACACCTGAAGTGATCCTTTCTCCATTTCAGCATGGTTTTGGGAGCATTGAATTGACAGAAGAGAAAGATGTGCTCTCTTTTTCCACRGATGTGCTTCTGCTGTGGAGCATTAGAGAGCATCTAATCAGATTGGCACATGCAAGGTGATTTATTGCGTATTTCAAGAGAAAAGTCTTCTCAGAGATAGTGATAAATGATATTTTCCAGGAGTGAGTCCTACACACGATCCTATGTGAAACCCAATTCAAGCTCCTGGTGCAGTGGYGTGGGTGCTCCCTCTGCATCACATCCTTAGGGTTTTGCTTAGCTGATGACACACAGAGCCACGTGCTGACTCTCTGCTGAAATGTCTTCTGTCTTCAACAGGGCCCAGTCCGATAAAGAGGGCGTGAAGCTGCTTTCTGTAAAGACAACCTCTGCCGAGGCTGGTGAGTGCTGGGCGCACACACACACGTGTGGGYGTATGTGTGTGTGCCTGAGCCCACGGAGCAGGAGTTTGGGAATGTCACCTCCAACCATCTGCAGTTCCTGTCAGGTCAAAGTCACTGCCAAGGGCGCCGCTGCAGTATGAATCCTCCCAGCCTGGGAGATGTGAAGCTGTAGACCTGATGCGTGGTGTGATACTTGTACTTGGGAGTGAGAATTGCGACAGTTTTAGGGAAAATTACGTTTTTAAATCATTGCTGGTAAGTGACCTGCTGCTAGGCACATTTGGAAGTAACAGTGACCACGATATTTATCAGCTAGTTCTGGCTGTGCTGCCTGGCTGGCTGATAGTGCTTCACCAGCCAAAGCGTTTGGGAGGCAGAGCTGTGTGTAAACAGACGTCTGCTGGAGCTGCTGTTGGCCATGCTCAGCCAGCCTTGCAGCCGGCCAGCCCTTGTATATTCCAAATCCTCCTCTTGCTACAGATTCCTCTGTTTGGTGCTTAGCTGATCTAGTTTGTTGCAAAGTATGTGTGTAGTAAAACTAAAGAAATAGGGGTTATAGATAACATGCACAAAAGAAATGAAAATAGCATCCATCTAAGCTAAGAGATGGAGGCAGTAATAGGTCCTGCAAGAAACAGCGCAAAATAAAATAGGACTGGAACAGACCAAAACTGTGCCTAATCTGATTCCCAGCTCTTCAAACAGAAAAATGAAACGTGCCAAGGCAAAGAGATCTTTGCATGGTGAAACTTCCTCACCTATTGCAATTCCCTCCCTCGGCCTTGTAGCTTCCAGGTTTGCTCCTGCTGCCATCTTTCATCCATATGTGTCCTTCAGGAAAGAACTCTTATTTTAAACATCTTTCTTAGGCTTCTGACTCTCTGCTCCCCAGTGACATTTTTAGAGTTTTCTGGTAGCAGAGAGGCACGTTGTAGTGCTTGGGAGCAGAAAGCTGCGGTCCGTCACAGCTGGCTGCGTCCCTAGCCAGTGCAAACTAGACCCTGGCAAGCAAGAGGCTGCATTTCAGAGCTTTGGTATCTGGCATCTACCTGTCTGTATTTCCTTGGGAATGGACTTGTAACTCTATCTGGGAAGTATGGATTGTGTGTATATTTTTACATGAAAATCATAGTAATTCTTTCGAGGGCTGAATGAAGTTAGCAGGCTTCCTAGGCATTCTTGTATGGATCCTCCATCACACAAGTTTCATGGACTGCTGTGGAGTTRCTCGTGTTTTGCATTAGCTTGAGAAAAGACCCCAGGTGCTCTGCTTTTCCAAAAGATGAGGTTTGATACCTATTAAGCAGCTACTGGTTCACAAAGTTTGTGAATTTCTTTCATCTAGAGGATGCTTGATATTCTTTTTCACTGAAGTATGATGTAGACATGCTATAATTGGAAGGTATGAGTCATAACCACTTAGAAGATAAGATTCTTGCCCTCATGTCATTAATACAATTCATATTTAAACCAGCTATCATTTTATCTAGAATTTTTGCATCTTTATATGTTTCAAAATTAAATTCAATTTCATGAAAATTGAAGTCCATTTTTTTCCCTCAGGTTTTTGGAGATGCTTTACTTCTTAAATTAAAAGCATTCAGGAAGGAGGGTGTGTTTCCTTGCAGAAATATTCATTACTCATACAAATATTTTCARGTGTTTCAGGATGCTTATCCATTCGAAGAAGATGTATCTTTTTCATTAAAAGAATCAGGCATAAAGGCAAGCATGTCTTAACGGTAGAGATATACAAAAGCACGGGAAATGTYTGCCTAATGTGATCACTGTTACAACTGCTGAAAGCAACTGCACTGTGTAAAAGGTTTACATGTGTTCTTTTTTGAAGGAGGAGAGGGCACGACTACTGCCTGTAGTCTTTTGATATAGATAACGTTTCCAGAGGGCAATTTACCCCCATCTATCGTAGATGAGCCTGCTAACACCAGATTCTGACTGTAATTCTGACTATAAATTAAAAAATAAAAGGAAAAAAAGGAAGATAAATTAGCCTTTTCTTCAGAAGCATAGCTAAATTAAATCTGATGATATAGTCAAGAATATTGCTGCAAAATACATAAAATTAACATGAAAGAACATGGGAAAATAACAGTGTTTGATTAAGGCTGAAATAATGTGAGGTTACTAATGGAGACATATCACCAAGGGCAGTAGGTAAAACTGAGCCCTAAGTTCTTCAATTTTTGAAGCTCTTCTTTGAGAGGTGGAATTGCTGACGGCTATGAGCTCCAGGGCACCGCTGGTTAAGAACCAATGTAAAATAAAAAGCAAACAGACAAAACTGAACACTGAAATCCTCAGACACGTTTGCCTGGGAACTGCAGCACCTGCTGCAAGGTAAGCGCCCCTTTGTGCAGCTTGCAGGGAATGCTGAACCTGGATCAAGGACTCGGTGTACTCAGTCCTCTCAAAACTTGCACGCTCAAGTGCAGATACAGAGCTTTTTGCAGCCATTCCATATTTACTGTGTGGGCAGGTTTAGGTGGTTCTTCCTAAAAGGAATAAATACAGAGCTCTTGAAAATCTACCCACAAAAGTATTTCTTGTTTGAGTTTCAGTGTAACTCACAGAACTGCTTGTTTAACTCTTCAGTAGTAAATAGGGGGAAAAAAGTGCTTTATCAAGGATGTATAATGCAAGTTTTTACTTGATATTTAAGAGGTTGATACATTCATCAGCCATAGTGTTATTGATAAGGTATGCCTACCTGAAAACATGYCTGGTTTTTACTGTAACAGTTCTTGCATGTTTCACTGGAAGCCAGTGTAGGAATTGAGTGTCCTTTCAGGACATAAACAAAACTGAAGGACAGAAGTTACTCAGTAACAGACAGGTTGAGGAAAAGAAATCAGGTAAGGCTCCTCCATAAATGTGGAAGATGCAGGATAGAAACTTCGATACCTATAAAATAATTTGGAAATATTCAGCATACTCATTCTAGACCAGGTAGAATGTATCAAGGGTCTTCACAGTAGCACACTATTTTGATATTCAGTGTAAAATCTCATAGCAATGTGAAGATGACATACTATTTCGAATTTTAGGTGTAATCCTGATACCAAGTGTGAGGTGATTCATAAGGGTATGCTTTCCAACCGGTGTGTGCTCATTTGAGATGACAGGCTAGGATGAGGCTTACTTGGCTTGCGGGGCATTGTAGTTTGTGCACTGAATTTGCTGGAAGGATATGGGAAGTGTGTCAAAGCTTTTCTGACTTGGACGTTGCTGAGACGCATGGAGAAGAAGGTGGCTTGAGAGGTAGTCCATGGTACGTGGCTGCATTAAGGCTTCCCAAGACACTCTTTCTCAACACAAATGAAAATTCAAATGTTGTTAGTGAACAAAACTGGGAAAATGTAGTAGGCAAACACGGATATTTGAGAAGAGACTTGTCCGCCATGGCTTAGACACCCTTCACTTGCTCTAAGCAGTTTGGAGAGAGGGATCAGTCAATCTCTGCACTCTGAGACAGCAGCACAGCACAAAAAGAAGTACGAAGAGAGGACAGAACAAACTACATTCCCTGCATGGCACCTATTTCTTCCACAAATTGCTTTTTATTAGCAGTAATAATTATCTAAGATCTGTTATCTGATGCTTCCACTGAACCTACTTCTAGCCTGTAGATTTTCCTAACATGTTTCTTGATGGTGTCTCTTGCACAAAACAACCTACCTGCCTTGAACATAAGTGGAAGTTTGTAACGTAGATGTGTTTGACCCCATGACTGCARTCACTCTCAAGATGAGCTTGGTTTGTGTCTGCAGTGGTTCATGACGTTCTTCTGCACTTTGTGAATTCCTGAAGCCTTTTCTGCACAGGCTTCAAGGATTTCTAACATTTGATGTCAGAGTTGTTGGTGACCRTATGGTACATAGTGAGCGAACATTGAAATCATCACAGAACAAGACAAAAATTCCTCTTCTCATTCAGCACAGAAACTTATTTAGGCCACTGGGCTGCACATGAAGTTCAACATCTTGATAAGAACATTCATCTGTGTTCACAGTCCTGTGGTTTTCTCAAGTGATTTGGTTGAATGATGGTACCTTGATCATCACTTTCCATGAATTTCCTGATGATGAGATGTTTAATTATTCTGTCTCACACATGAAACCACAGTTTTGTCTATAGTAGAATAGGACAAATCTGGAGCTGTGGCCAAGCATTACTCCCCCTGGCATCAACAGGCCTGGTTGCTCTCATGCTGAGCACATCTGAGCGTGGACAAGTTGTTTAAAGAGGTAAGAAAACTTTGCATTCTTGCCTTTGTTTTTAAACACTTGGGGCTCAAACCATGAACACTTACACCAGCCAGAGCGAGGACAGCTATGTAGGGCATGTTCCACCATAGACCTTTTTCAATGTGCATTAGTAGTTTCACCTTTCTCTCCACGCATTTTGTCTAGGATGGATCAGGCAAAGACGGCAGGTCTCCAGGTCAGGCCCCTCTGTCACTGAAAATTCCCTTCCCTCCTCCTTGGCTTGCAAGATGAGCTGTGCAGGTCAGCTGAGAGCAGTCTGCTGTTGTGCTGTGTGCTTAGAAGTGGTAAGAGCTGATGTTCCTACTAATCTGAGAATATAGCATTGATTATTTCTTTTCTTCAATTATGAGCGGTACTTTCAGTGTCCTATTTTTTTCCCTACAGGTAGAAAACCTAGAAACTGCTCCCTAAGAMAGGGTCCCCCCACAACAAAGAGATCAATACTTGCTTTGCTTTCATTTTCTTTCTCATTTCTCATCCTGCAGTTTTTTTAAACCTTGTGTTGTATAACGGCCTGAAGTTGTGGTTTCTTTCTTCATAGAAATTGAAGAATAAGCTTGCTCAGCTCCTTGCAGTCCGTAGCTGGATTCTGCCTTGTGTTTATCTGCACCACAAAGATCTGACTGATCACGCCTGTGACAGAGGCTTTTTGGTCAAAATTGTAGTCAAAATATTAAGTAGCACATGCTGCCCCTCTTCGCTGTGGGTATAGTTCTAACTTAGTCTGCGAGCTGTGTGTATTTGGGGTTTTAAAACAGCCTCTTAAAGTCGGAGGCTGCTGAGGCTCTGGCGAAGCTTGTGTCGGTGGAGCGTTAGCTGGCTTCCCAGCTGGCTTCCCAGCCTGCTGCTTCCTGAGGTATCCCTGATGCGGAGAACCGCCTCCTGCGGGCCATTCAGCAGCAGTTACGCGTGGATGCTCCATGTGAGCGTTTCCTTCGGCCCCGTGTGCAGCGCCGTGGGCCGCACGGGCGCCTCAGGCTGCTGGTGTAAGGAGCTCTGTGCAGGGCCTCGGCGCAGGGCTCCCTCCTGCTCTGGCCGCTCTCCAGCGTCTCTAATGCTCCCCTTCTCCTCTCATTGCAGCATTGCAGGAGAGAAGCGTTTAGATCCCCTCTCAAAATCCCTCTGCAGAGGCAGTTTTATGCTTTTATAAAACTCGAGTTTCTGCAATCRTATTTTCTACAGAGCAAAAGACTTATGCTCGTACTTTGTTCCCCAGCAGACTGGCACTTATGAGCAATTGCTCAGCAGCAGATATTACAGTGAAGTAACAGCACCGCTTAGTTTTTCTTATAGACAATGTTATCTGTGATGCTGTACAGCCTGCTTGTATGTCAAAGCCAATTTCTTGTGTCCTCCTTCTTCCAGCTTTCCCACTAARCTCAAAACGGCCTTTGTCCAGGTCAGAGGCTTCCTGTACTAACGTGAACAGCTAATTCTCTTATTTTTATTGTGTAGTCTGAATAATGAGTTCAGCTTCTGAATCAGATGGGAAAAACTTTTTTTTTTTTTTAAGTGAGATTAATTCAACAGCCTTCTATAAACATGAGACAAAAAAATGAGAATTTCAGAATTCCTTTTATTCGGTCTCTAATTTCAGCTGGTTATAAGCCCCTTAGGTAATCCACATATACAAGCATTGGGATGCTTGTGTATATATGTGTGTGTGTGTGTGTGTGTGTGTGTATGTGTGTGTATATATATATATAAAAAAATTTTTACTTGCCCAGTTAAATCTTGTAACTTTGCCGAGTCCTCTCTGTACTCCCAGGCCATTTAGAAAGCATGTGGAAGGCCCAAGAGCCAGGAGCACAGAATTTTCTTGGAACGCCTTCCCCGTCCTCCTCATGCGCGTCAGAGGGTGACAGCTGCTCGCAGGAGGGTGCGTGCGGACACTGTGCCCCGTGCCGCACTGCCCGCTCCGCCACCCTCGCGGGATCTGCTCTCCAGCCCCAGGGGCAGTGCTTCAGGAGTGCCGCTAAGGAAAGAGCACTGCTGCGCTGCAGGAGCTGCTACAGGCTGTCTCTTTTCACATGGAAAATAGCCAGAGACGTCAAGGAAGGATAAAAACTAGGGAGGATGGACAGCAATGCATCCTCCCTACAGGAGTCTTCCAGCAATCTATGCCTTGAAGTTTACCTGAGTCATGTGCTTAATTGTCCTCAGTGGCTTTTACTTCCGTGAATTGGTTTTATTCCTTCTGGGATCTATGACATCCTGCCRTAGTAAGTTAGGTAGTTCAACTATAGATCTGTATATAGCACAGCTACTGTAGTATAGATCTGTATGTAGTATAGTGGTATAGATCTGCCTACAGCACTTTTTAGAGACTTTCTTGTGCCTGTGTCYTTGTGTTTACAGTTCTATTTCAGAGCCAAATCAACAGATTGATGCAACATTGGGGGATGAGAGGAACAAGAAAAGCTTAATAGAAGGTTTTGCAACCGCATGTTAAATRTAATTTCCATGTCAGTATCAGTCTAATTTCATTTTCCAGATACTCTGCCTAAGGCCTCTTTCTCAAACTGTGCATCATTTCTTTCAGTTTTTGTAGAAGTGCGTGATTTATATGAGGTTGGCTTCTCACTGCCCTCTGCTAGTCTATGTGAGCTCTCAACTCCTAGCCCAACAGGAGAGGTTTCCCAAGGCAGGACCACAGGTAAAAGGGGTCACGTTGCACTCACAGCTGCGCAGGTGACAGCGCTTGCTTAACTGTGCCAAATAATTTTTGCTAGGTCCCTMATCTCCTGCTTTTCACAATTATACTCAATTACTTTAGCAGAATAGAGGGGCTTGCAATGTATTTTCCATGTGTTATCAGAAACTTATTGGAGTGCTACCTATAAAATTCAACTTACTTGACGCTAGGCTAGCTTATTGCTAGGTGCTGCACAGCTGGATTGGGAGAAGCGAGTGGTTCCAGCCTCTCTTGGTAACTTTCATCTCCTGGTGGGTGCTGCTAGAGTTTTAAGTTCACCCTCACTAAATGCACAATCCAGAATCACCAAAAGMCAAATTTTCTCCAGTTTTGCTGTCTGGCTCTTTTGCTATTAACCTAACTTGATGTACTTGATGTAACTATATCTTTTCTCCCTCAACTGCAGTCTTCAAATTGTGCAGGTAATCTGTCTGGCCTGGTTGAGTAGCATCACTGTGTGGGAAATACTGGAAAGATAGTGGTTTTAGGCAAGATGGGTTTTCTCCACCGGCCTCGCAGTTCAGTGCTAAACAGTTCTTTCAATCAGTTAAGATATCATCTGCTCTAACAAAACACTAAACACAAAAAATGTTTTTTTTTTGTTTCCCTTATGGGAAACAAGCTCTCATCCATAGTTCTTTAGGGAATGAGGGTTTTGGGAGGAGTTTTTAGCACAGCATCAAGCTGCAGAGCCATCAAGTTTTAAAACTGATCTGGACAACTGGGGGGTCTCAAGGTGAATTGCAGTTCTGTGCCCAAAGCAGTTTGCTGCCCTCGTTGCTGTAGGTCAGAGAGTGACTGCGTGCCCGTTTCCTCTCCCGAATATAATCGTTCTGTCTTCATCACGGAAGAGTTAATTGGCACTAATGACTGTAGACTCTGTAATGCTAATACCTTCAAATACATTAGCAATCGTAGAGCAGCAATAACTTAGATTTATCCTAGAATTCTTGCCACGAACTGTGGCTCTGGAGAGCACAGGCAACAGGGACAAAATGGCATCGAGGTATTTAGCCTTCTACATCAAACTCCCAGCAGACGTTCACGACATTCACTGATATTACTAGGGGACACTAATGCCCCTCAGTATTGAAGGCAGTTCCTTAATATATTCCCTGGGATGTCCGTACACCACCAGGAACTGCAGGTAGGGAACGTGTGCGCAATAAGGCAAGTTCACCACGGCTAGAGCCCCCCAGGTATGGATCCATAGGTATGGATCAGGCAGTCTGCTTTCTGTAGCAAGCCTGACCAACCTCACACATTTTATAACCTGATCCAAAGCCTATTGGCTTTGGGAAGGCAATGGGAAGTTATCTAGGGAGCTGCACTGGCTTTGGAGCATGATCTTAGAAGTGTTATTTTTTTCTGTGGTAAAAAGTATGGATCTTCTCTGCAAGTTTGCTTCCTTTCTAGCTCAGTTGCCAGCTGAGAGTGGAACTGATAACAAAATATTGATATTTCTGCAGCAATTGAAGTTTTTTTCCAACAGTAATATGTTTTTCGGTAAATTTTCCCTACTTGTTCTTTTCAAATTTCCCCCTTTTGCACCCCATTGAAGCAGTTACATCTTTATATTGAACAAGAAGCAAGGAGCAATAGCTTTCTTCTGCAGAAGAAAGAAAGGGAAATAAAAAATGAGGGCAATTCTCGAAAATCTGTCTGGTTTGTTAATATAAAACTATACAAGTATTCGAGCTGGTATGTCTTCTTTATCTTTTAAAAAGCATATTTTTATCTAATGAAAACCTACCAAAATGTGTTGATCTTTTTGAAATACTTATATATTTTTGTCTGCTAGAAAAAGGTGCTTTCCTTTTTTCTCTAAATTTATGAAGTAGATTGTTGAAGTAGTTGCTGAGAGGATTTTCAGCTGAAATATAACATCATCAAAACTTCTCAAGCACTAAGTTGGCGACATTTTTATAATGTTTCTGAAATAATTTTATCCCAGATTGAACACTTGGAAGTGAAAACAATTTCAGCACTTTATTGTTAAAGCATTTCCAGTGTTTCTCATAGACTCCCTTTGGATACAAAGTTGTCTACTCATCTCTGCAAGGCTGCACTAAATTAAACAGCCCAGATGACAGTCAAGAAAAGCTACCTGAAAACTATTGACTCCTCTTTTCTACTTTCTTACTGATGGAATGCAGCTGTTTATTTTGACTGCTAATTAATTAAATACCTAATCGGTTAATTTGTTGTATTCCTAATTTGCGTTACAATTTTTCAGCCCCAGGCTAGATATCGTATGCAAACTATTTAATACAAATTTACTTCTGCTAGGATTTAGTGTATCTCTTCACTTTCTCGCATCTCTTGTATGTACTGGGAATTAAACTGTTTTTCACAGGTGCGCAGAGAGGCGGCGGGCTCTTTTTTTCTGAGTGTATTTGGGTATCCTGGCACACAGGGAAACAGGACAACTGTAGACATGTCTTGGTCTGGAGGGGTATTTGTACGTGTGGAATTGCTGGCGGTAGCTCAGCTTCTGCAGGAGGGGAGGAGTGAGAGCTGTCTGCAGTTACTCACTGAATTGTTAAATGGTCGTTTTCCTATTTTGGAGGAACTGAACTACTGTCAGTGATATCAGAAAAAAAAAATATAGATGTATCTTTTCCTTTTTATAATATAATGCTACAATTTTAGTTTAAAATTAATTTTATACTTTTTTTCTAACCTTTTCATACCCTACTTGGAAATGCTTCTTGGTAGTACCCTACATTCTGAGAGCAAATTGTACATGAAATAAGCTAAAAACTACCAAGAGAGAAGTGAAAATCTATTTTGTGGATAGATTTTGCTTGTTAAGTATGTCTGACAAGGAGACTAGCTAGGTTGCAAAGTGCTCTGTGATGTGTTCCTGCTAGACTCATTTGTCTTTTTTTTATATATTTAACTGACCCAAAATGTGTTTTCTTTTTTATTAGGAGAGCACTCATCTCAGGGGAAGAATAAAACTCGACAGCGTGATGATTCTTCTTCGCACGTCAGTAATAAATATGTGAGCTCATTTTTTTTTTGTCTTGCTTCCTGTAAAGTTAATATTTAAAGTTATATAAAAGTTAATAGTTTATTATTATAAATTATAAAAAGTTAATATTTGAAGTTATATAAAACTTTATATAAAGTTTTGGCATGTAACTAAAGAAAGGAGCTAAAAATGCCTTATATGAGAAAGCAGTGATTTCTGTTGGTGTCAGCCTCAAGTGGCAATGACTTTAAAAAGCTCATTTTGAGCAACTGTCATGAACAAGAATCCCAAATAAACTGGGGTTAATAAAGTCAAGTGCAACCGAAGAACCTGCCACCTCACATAGGCAGACCTTTACAGACACAGCTTTTTAGCTTTGACTTTGAAGTGTTCATTTCCTGGGTGTAATTGCCAAAGTAATTTACCTTTTGTATGTGCAAGAAGCAACACATTTTTTTAAGGCCATTGCCTGTAAGAGGAAACTTGATACCCAGAAGTATTCAGCCTCCTTTGGCTTCCTGAAATGTCTCTGTCCATTTCACATGACACAAATTCAGGCACTTTTATTGAGGTGCTTTCTTGCAGCTGAAAATCCTTGGTTGCTGGCACGGAAAACTGCCAGGTGTTGGTCCCTATTTTTATGTGTGCAAGGGCAGGGGCTGTCAGAGCATCTGTGAAGGCTGTTGTGGGAGAGGTAGGGTGTGCACCTTCCCGTGTGAGCCTTTTTCAGCAAGTGGAGTCCTTTGTTGAAAGAGGGAGAAGGACGAGGAGGAGGCAGTGCCGGTGGGAAAGGTCCTGCTGGAAGGGCCCTGGGGGAGAAGGCAAGTGGGAAGGGGGACCTGAGGAGGAGGTATCGGAGACTGTGTTAGGGTGAGCCTGGCATGAGCTGAGGCAGCTGTGTTGGGCCCAGRATAAGCACCAACCAAACCAAACAATTGCATCAATGTTTTGTGATGAAGCACCCCTAGAACAGGTCCCATCAACTTCCACCAAGGGAGATCTGGTTAGCAGTAAATGTGAAGAGAGGCTTGTGTAAAACATCTCTGACCTTTCTCATTTCCACTAGAGCACACTGAATTTTTCTGATGCTAGCAGTAGGGACAAAATAAGCTGCCTGGCCCTTTGAATTGAAGCAACAGAACACAATTTCACCTTAAGTGAGTCAAAACCCCAGAGCTGATTCTGTGAGTCCAGGACGTTATCCTGGACAATCAATTTACTCTTTGATGGCTGCTTTGTGTAGGATTTACTCTGATCATCATTTTAACTTACTATTATGGTCCTAAATAACTTTCSTGGAACAATAATCTTGGGATGTTGTTGTCATTTCAGATGTGAAGTAGCCTGTTTTATCAGTATGTGGAAGAACTTCCCAGCAATGCTGTGGTTTCACAGGAAATATGGAGCAGCTGAAGCTTCTAACCAGACAGGACACTTGTGTTAATGACCAGCTCTTTACATCCAAAYCTTAAATGCCTCCTGTTCCTTCTGGAATGACATGTGCTTTATTGATGGCTTAATAACTGGTATATCTTATGTATTTATTATTTCTGCATATAGTAAAAGCAGGAAAACCTTCAACAAGACTGAAGATAATGTTAAAATCAGGTGAAGTTTGGCTAGTAATTATTTAAAATGTTTTCTATACATATAGGAGGTAATACATTAACATACTTTGTTGAACTTTTGGTAGATAGGGTTCTTTTAATCGTATGTAGCAAAATGCCAACAGGGCCTGACCCTTGAAACAGTCCTGGCCAAATTGCCAGCTCAAAACCTAATTCAGTGGCTTCCGTGCGGCTCCTCATTGTAGCACTCGCTTTGCCTGTCATAAATGTTTACAGGAGGGGATGCCTGGATGAAATGCTGAAGTGTGAGTTGCTTTTTCTGTGAAGAGGAGGAATATTCCTGACACTGAGGTTCATTGATGTTCTATAAGTTGCTGAATGTGGTCCTTGTAATGTAGCAGCAATATAGTTTATTTCCACTTGTTCCCCCGCTAATCCCTGCAGTACATCTGCCACGTATACTTGTAGTCTCCTCTGTAACTTGTGGTGCACAGTAGGGATCAATGTGATAAACACCTTTACAGACAAGCTTTCTTCCCTATGTTCTGAGCAATGCATGAGATTCCTGTTCATTATTTAATAACTATAGAAGCCTGAAGAATGCTTCAAATAATTATTACTGACTTTCTTAATTTATACAGAGCTAGCACTTCAGAAATATCAAGGAGTGCTTCTACCTGCATGTATCCTGCTCTTCTAGAAGTATAAATGCTTGAAAATTATATTAACAAGAGCRTCTGCTCAGTCTTAATCTCCGGAGTCTGGTAGGCTGTTGAAAAGCTCCATTGATTTATTGGGAAATGAAAAGGAGACAATTAGTGGTGTAAACACAGGATCAAGAGCCAGGGATTCCTGAAAAATAATCCAAGCTTTTGCTACTATGCTTTTGAGGAACCTCTCATCTTCTCTCTCCAATTTCCTTCTCTTTACTAATAAAATTTACTTAGCTGCCTGGTAAGCGTTTGAGCAGATTGTTAGTTCATCTTTCTAAACAAGGATGCCCCTGTGCTGGACCATTGCTCTGATTTCTACCTCCGTGGGTCTAATCCTTTATCTTAGTGGCACGAGGAGAAGCTTTTGATGAAGCTCTGTGAAAGATGGGGAACCAGCCGTAGTGCTGTGCGCTGCAGCTCCACTTGTAGGGTCCATCCAGGTATGCCTGGATCACCGGCATTGCTCAGGAGCAGAGGAGTCTTTGATGCCTGCTTTGGAAAGGTCAGGGCATCTAAAATACACTAGTTAGCATCTATACCTATCCTGATTCCTGATTGCTGAAGTTTTTCGTGAAGAAAAGCAATCATTGTGGATTTTTGTGACATTTAAAATATATATATATATTTTATGTAGCAGCATGTTGAACCCTACTGAAAGGACAGTAGAAAAGAGCGGAGAAACATTATGAAAATAAATATATTTGTTTGTGTAAAGTTTGTTTGGAAACTGCTAGTGTGTGTCAAGTAAAATTAACTACCTATTAAAAGTTACTCTCTTTATTAAGATGCTTTTATTTTTCTCTTTTCCCAAGTGCAATTGCTTCCCCATATCCAATGCAAATATCAGACATTCCTATGCGTTCCTGTTGCATCAGGTGAACTCATGATAGCAAGTCCTGAAGGACAGACATTAGATATACTGGTTATTGTGGTGGGAGAGGGAGCATTAGGCTCTGCAGAAGACAAGCGGGGATGGAAAATGGAGCACCGAAAACTTCCCTTCAAAAGATGATGGCAAGAGAGCAGGGCTTGCTGCGAATCTTGGCACCGAGAGAGTGAAAAACACCACGATRAGAAATGATATTTGGGCTTTTCATGGTAAAGGGTATGGCAGAAAACCAAGCTCTCCTCCAAAGGTTTAAAAATGTACCAAAAAGCGCCCGTGGGTGAGAGTACGAGAAAGGAGCTTTGGTAATGCCAAACTTGTCACCTTTTTAACCCCCAAGGCAACAGAGCTTGTGGTAAAGGAAACATATGATGTCCTTTCTCCTTCTGAAGGACCTGGAGGGAACTGATGTTTATGTGAARGCGAGAAGACTGAGGTATGCTGGAGGGGTGTCTGTGAAACGAGGAAAGGATCTGGAAGAATATTTGGAACTTGTTATTCTGCAAAGCTAGAGAGGCTGGAATTAGATTTAAACAGGAGGTAACAAACTGGCTGTACAGAGAGCTCAGTTATTACACCAGAAAAAAAAAATGCACCACACAAAATGGCTGGAGGAGATGAAAAAGCAAAGAAACCAACTGCAGACATCTGGSGCAACTGCTTTTGAGTCACACTTGCAGCAAGATGCAGTTGAGTTTTCTGGTTGCCAGCATGGCCAAAATAGAAACCAAAAGCAAATTTGGTCCTAGGTGTGAGAGGCTTGTCTAGTTGGGGATTCCTAGGAAAGGGAATTTGCATGTTTAAAACAGTTTCCACCGGAGTTTAAATAAATCTAAATGTAGTGGTCTTTTGTTTCTGTCATAGTTTACTGTAGAAGTGAATGATGTTCACTTTAATTTAGAGTGAAAATGCCCACACTGAGGTAATTTAACTGAATCTACTAAGAGGTTTGTGATTTAATATGTAAACAAGTGTTTAGGTCGAATATATGGTTCTGTTCCATGTGTTGTAATCCAAGAATAAAGCAGGTATCATCAACTACTATAAGTAAAGCACAAGGAGCTCAGGTTTCAGGAGAAATGACTTTTTTTCACTTTGCCTCAGTCATACTTGGCTTGGGGAAAAATATCTATCTGATTCTAGCAGTTGAAGTGTAACATAGACATTAAAAACATGGCCATACTGGTGTGGAGGCCCACTTACTGGCATGAAATAMATCTCTGTCTTGAAATACAGTAAAAACTTCAGGTGTTTTGATATTTCATCAAAGATCTGATGTCAGTGAGGTTAATCATGAATTAAAAAGTATAAATTTTACATTTCAGAATGAATATTTTACATGTGACCCATACCTTGCTCAGTGATAGTGTTCCCAAACAGTAAGCTACTTTTAATTCGAACAATCAATTTCTGTCTGTTTATAATTCAGCATATTCAGTATGTTTTTTCCATTGGAATGAGCTTTTCCCTCTTTTTTTCCTTCTTAAATTGTCAGATGTTTTTGGAGACACRTTTTGACCCAGAAGTTGCAGCACTCTTCTGGTAGAGCTTGTGGTATCGTCAAGTGCTTTGGCATCCTTAAGGGTGAAGAGCAGCAATGTAAGCAGCACTAATTAGTTATTGTTTTGCTTTACTGTACCAAAAGTCTTCCCTTTTCTATAAGATGGAGGTCGTCACTATTAATGATATAGAAATATTGCTGTGACGGCATACCCGGGCATGGTTGGAGCAGCCTGTGGTGAAGGTCCAGAGATGTTTCCACATCCAGGTGTAAACTCAACTGTACCAGTTTAAAATCTTTATGTTAGTAATAAGAAAGATTAATAATTATTTTAATTAAGATAATAATTACCTTAAATAAGAAAGATTAATAATTACCTTAATTATGGCCATCCGCGGTGGCCATACCCACTTATGTGGAGTTAAAAGTACCTTATAGCAATGATTTGAATTGCTTTTGAAAGGTAGTGGGGCAGATGTGTTCCTAAATAGGAGTAATTGTGCAGAAGCCCTCTGGGCAAAAACCTCCTGCTCCATATTTTCCAGTGGGCAGGAGAAAGGGAACATTTGGTCCTAAGGAGAGTGTGAGCGAGGGCGCTGCTCACGATGGAGCGCTGTCTGCAGGGCCTCCAGTGTCCTTGTAAAATGTTAGCATTGTTATCTAATAAATTACAGATTATTGCAGCGGAAAGGCAGTAACTGTGAGAATAGCCTGGAGAGAGATTTTGAGGCCTCGTGCCCCGAGCCTCGTTGCTGATCAGCGTGGCATGCAGGCTCGGGGAGGAGTGTGCTAAGGGAATCACTGTGTTGAGGGGCAGAAGAGTTCCCTCAAATTCCTTCTGGGTGCTACCGGATTTGCCATGTTTTGACTGACCAAATGCAGGCATCACACTAGGATTTTGGAGCCAGTGCTAAACAAAAGAGGTTGGCACTAAAGGGGAAAAAAATGCTGTGATGCTGTGTGTTGATATTTGACTTGCTGCTCTAAGATGCTATCTTCAGCAGCCTATTTGCCTCACATCAAAGTAGAAATACTGGAAGGAAAATTGCTTCAATCATTATTCACAGGAATAAGATACAGAAATGGGAAAATAGCATACAAAAAAAGGTAAGAATTTTATTTCTAAAAAGTAGGCCTGAAGAGCAGGAATTAGGTGCTTTTAAAAATCCTGTCAGCTGCTTATTAATTTTTGTAAGCATTTCAGTATTTTTGCACATTTGGTGGATGGTCTTACGTAACTTATTCGTGAGCCAGTCGTGCTGTTGTTTATTCATCATTCTGGTTATTTGAGCTTTAATTCATCCTCCTGGTTATTTGAGCACAGGTGCCCTTCAGCTGTTAATGCCCGCAGAGTGATGTCGGGACCCTCTGTCTGCCTTAGTGCCCTGCCCCAGCACTGCCTCGGCCCGGGTACGGTCCCCGTTTTGGGTCTGCACGGGTGAGTCCCCCAGCACTGCACTCCTGGGCCCTCCTCTGACGTCCGACAGACGGTCCCGCTTGTGGGTGACGCAGCCTTGGGGGCGCCCTGGGCAGGCAGGGGGCTCGTGGCCCCCCAACCAGCTGTGGGTGACGGGCAGTGCTCACACAGGAGCGCTCACGCGGGAATGCCCCGTGTTCCTGGCAAAACGTCTGGAGCTTTGCTGCAATGCTGGGAGTTGAGCGAGGACTTGGCAGCGCCTGGAACGAACCCGGCCTGCAGGAGAGCTGGCAGCAGGGCCAGGAGTCTATGGGCAGGGGTATTTACAGGCTGCTTATGGCACCGCTGATAGAGGGGCCTAAATAATAATTCTAAACAAGCCCTAAAGGACCTTTGTTGGCTGTGGGAAGCACTGCATACAGCCTATACCTTGAGCAGGCTCTGGAGCAAGGTGGGCATGTGGAATATGCCTGGGACGGCTCAGTTGCAGACAGCTCTTGGCTCTGCTGTTGTGATAGCAGGTCAGACCCCTTCGCTGCATAGCTGCAGTTTGCAGCCTGCCCTTAAATCTTGCCAAGAGTRAGTAATAAAGCACATTAGCTATTGAATTGCCTTTCAGTGTTTGTAGCTCCGTGGAGGCCGCTGGAGTTGCCACATTGGGGTGTTGATCTGACCTGGCTGCTCCGCTGCCCACGGGCGCAGACTTCCCGCACAGTTTGCGGGACGGCCACGGGCAAAACGCTCTGCGGAGGCCCYGAACACACATCTCAGGACCTTTCTAGCACCATTAATTACAGCGMCTCGATCTCTTCAAATTAGGGCTCTATATCTAATAAAATAAATGAGCTTAAAGATTATTCTGTTGATTCCCAGTTGAGGCTTTTTTYCAAGTTTGTAGCCGATAAAACACAGGCTTTAATTAACCCCAGTGAACGTGGCTAACATGAGAGAGCAGCTCTGGGAAGGCTCAGCACGTGTACCCTCCGCGGCTCGCGCTCCTCCGGCCCCCCGAGTTCGCCCCACGCGCAGGAGCTGCTGCTCGCCCCACACGCGGACGCGCTCGGCACCGCTGCTGCCCCACACCTCCGGCTGTGCCCAGACCCACAGTCTGCAGGAGGAGAGGCCTCGCTGCTGCAGGGGGCTTTTTGATGGAAGAGCAACTGCACTGTTGTGCTCTKTATTATTTCTAACAACTTCCAGCTTTCTTATTACATCCATAGGACACTGGGTTTTTTTGTACAGGATTGCCTGTTTTTTAATGAGTGCAGCCCTCTTGCCTTCCCTTCTCCTTCCCTCCCCGTTCCGCCTTTTGTTTGGTCGCCCTTTGGGTGGCAATTTGACATGCACCATTATGACCACCCCTGCTGCCCCGGGGCTGGCGCTCTGCCCTTGCTAACCAATTAAAATGCAATGCAATTAGGAGTGCAAACCTGTAAAGAATAAGACAGCAGAAATTCAGCAGCGCGTAGCGCTGTGGAGACGGCGTGGCTGTCAGTCTCCAACTCTAGGAGATAATTTGGTATTTCTAAGAAGCAGTAATTGAGCGTTTTGCATGTGCCACGGTTACAAGCTAGTCAGAAGCATTTGCTAGGAACCCAGGAGCGCTAGATGGGCTGGGTGGTCCCTGCAGTTCAAGCCTTTCCCAGCTCCTGCACTCTCAAGGAGTTTTTTTGACAGCTTCTGTGCATAAAGAGGTGCAGCGAGCCGACCCCTTCCTCAGTGCAGGGCCCCCAGCCCAGCC